CTATCTATCTATCTATCTATCTATCTATCTATCTATCTATCTATCTACAGGTATCTAGCTAGCTAGCTAGCTACAGGTTTTTCAAGACAGGGTTTCTCTGTGCAACTTGGCTATCCTGGACTCCCTTTGTAGACCAGGCTGGCCTAGAACTCACAGTGATCCACCTGTCTCTACCAAATACTGGTATTACAGGTGTTCACCACCACTACTGGCTCAAGAGAATCTCTTAAGTACAGGAGTTCAAGGCCAACATGGGCAACACAGTTGAGAGCCTATCTTAAAAAAAAAAAAATCATTATTTTCAAATATATGCAGAAGTAGCAGCGTAAATAAGTTTAAACTTTATTTTGAAGTTGTGGTAGAGTACACATGACATATAATTTACTACTTTAACCACTTTCACCATGTCCAGGTCAGCAGTCCTGAGCACAATGACAATACTGTGCAACCAATCTCCAGAATCTTACAAGTTTAACACTAGCATTCACAAGCAGACCTGCAGAAAAGTGAAGATCTTAAATGATTGTTTGAGCAGTTTAAGCTATTTTATTCTTGGAGACAACTGCAGAATGTCAAAGGTCATTTATTTATCCCTTTACAGTAGAGCCTTTTTGTTGCCATGGAATTCTGAAATCCTTCCTTTATTGAAAGCTCCACATGGAAACCAGGATTTGTGTAACTATACACCATGCAATCTATCACTCATCAAACTGATAGGATGCTCTTTTCAAGTTCCCTGTTTCTTCAATCAAGTCCCTCACTGAAGGAACCTCAAATCGCCAGTACAAATCTCTGGGGTGGTGCTCCTTTACAGTGTCATGTAATCCAATCGCTTTAGGGGAAAAAAGGACACCGTTTTATTTCCAGACCTCTACTTCAAGTGAAAATTAAACAGTTCAATTCACTAAGTTAGCGTTCTGTTGCATTCTGGCCACCTAGGCCCAGGTTTCACAGACAACTTTTCAAGTCCTATATCTCAGGAGCCCATCAACTGGCAGGCCTAGCTAACAGGTCGGCTGAAACACAGGCCACTCACTGGTTTCCTTTTTTCGTCTGATTTACCTTTTGATAGGTGACTGGACTGCAGACACACAGAAGTGTTTCTCAGTTCACATTCTGAATGTTCAAACAGCAGCAGTGAGATGGAACCTGACAAGGGATGATTTCGGGCCTATTCACATCTGTACTACAGGCTTGTAATAAGAAAGATGTGAGCTAGCCAAAGCCAAAATGGGTAACGACACTAAATGCAGGGGCAGAAAAGGCTGTTTGCACTGCCAAGCGTGAGTCCTCTCTCCTTTAGAACAGCTATGAGTCTGTACCCTTTTCTAGGTACCCTGTGTTACCATTCAAGATCCTTTTTTGCTTAAGAGCAAAACCCCCAATCAGCATAGTTCTAGAAGATTTCTGTTGCATGGAATAAATAGAAATATTAGTGATTTTAAAAAATGTATTAAAAACTTATTTATTAAGTGGGGTATGAATGTAGGTGCGAAGAGAAATTGCTGGAGTCAGTTCTTTCCCTTTCCACATGTGGGTTCTGGGAATCCAACTGGAGCAAGTGCCCTTACCCACTGAACCATCTTGCCAGCCCGCCCACCCCTGGGGGGCGGGGGAGACCTTTTTAATAGTGGTTAAAAGACGGCTTGGCTCTTAACGTTCTAAGACCCAGGACACAGAAAACTACTACTGAAATACACATAACTCCAGAGGCCCAAACTAAGTCACATGTTGAGCCCTGCTGTCTCTGATTTCTACTAGGGAACCACACTGCCTAATCCCTAAGTATTTGAAAGCTATATAAAGCTCCTTTAGGGGCACTTGTTTCCCACAACTCTCTGCCAGGAAGTTAAGACAAGGGCATCCAGAGGCCTTAATGCCCAGACTGGAAAGCTTTATGCTAACACCCTGATTAGAGATTAACAGTTCCTCAGAACACCTGAAGCATATTTTAAATGCTTCTCGATGTTCTCATTTCTGTGTGGAGACAGTCTTGTGCTGTATAAATTAGTCATACTGTAAGGTCTATTTTAGAAGCTGTGTACAGTACATATATAGAACGGCCCACAACGGTGGGAGACAAGCACAGTCCCGCATCTGAGCTGGGTGGGAAAGTCAGGTGGGCTCAACGAATGCTGTGATGATTATTAAAACTATCCACCCTGCCTCCTGTTCTCGATTATTCTCTTCGAGGTACGAGAAGCGTGGAAAGGAGGAGGGCATGTGATTCCGCAAACTGCCCAGGGCTAGCAAGATATCCAGCTTCCCACCCATGCCGCCGGAAGATCCTCACCTCCAGCTTGTCCGTCAGTTCCTTGTGCATCTGCTCGTACTGTCGGCTCATGTCCTGATTCCTCTCGAGCAGAGCCTTGCCTAGCCGGGCCGCCAACACCAGATCCTTCTCCTTCTGTCGGATCACGGACAGCAGCTCCGGATCCTGGGTAGGCGGCGGCGGTCCTTGCCCCTCAGCCGGAGACCCCGGCTCCGCCTGAGGATGCTCCCCGGGGTCGGATGGCCGCTCCCCGGCCGCCAGCAACGCCAGCTCCTCCTCTAAGGCCAGTTCCAGTTCCCCGGGGGCCCCGGGGAAGGAGACGAGGGCGGCGGCGGCGGGGCTCCGGACTGCGTCCCCGGCCCCAGACGGCAGCTCCATGCAGCAGGCGCTGTCCGGCTCGGCGGGTGCTGAAGCTCGGCCGGCCAAGCCCAGGCAGAAAGCGGACATGGCCCGCGCGCGCCGAGCCCGCTGCGGTGCGGCCCGGCCGGCGCGCGCC